TGTTTTCCAAATCAAGATCCAATAAAAATCCCACCTGCTCATGCGGTGCAGCTCCTGATTCCTTCAACTGCAGAAGCGACTGGCGTTGAGTTTTAACTAGAGCAAGCCCTTCCCCTACCTGTGTGTGCAGGAGCACCCTCACGATCCTCACACCATTTTTCAACGTAAGTAAGTTGTACACCTTCCTGAATAGCCAGGCTTATTAACCATGCAAGGCAAACCGGCAGCACCTGGCGTAGAGGCCTTAGAGAAAAGACTTCATGCCCCACACGTTCAGAAGCTAAGACGTAAGGCACACACTCTGTGGGTAGTTTGTTAACAGAGGTATACTGAACTGACAACAGATGTTCACGTTTCAAGGCCTCTGCCAAAGCGCATAGCACCCGGCTCAAGTGACTGTTCTCCCCTCTGCCTGCCGCGCTCAGCTGTGGTGCACTCGCAGCAACCAGGTGGTCCTTTTTGATGCACCTTCCGCCCTGGGAAGAATGTAGTCAGTCTTAATGGCTTTGGCATCACCACAGCGCCTCAGGAAGAACCTACTGAAAGAACATTAATGGGCGAGGCGGTCCCACAAGCGACGGAAGGCCTTGTATACAGCGCCTGTGTGGCTTTTTGAGGCCCCATAAAAACTGGCTGTCTCTTAAGTCAAATTTCTTTGGCAAGAAGCTGAAAACTAAAGCTTAGTTAAGGTGCTCCCTAAATAACATTCCCCACCTCCCACCACAGGCAGACAGGACGTAAAACTCTCACATTTCTGTGCTGTGCCTGCAGATGCGAGGCGCCCAGTAGTTGAACACTTTAGGGTGTGCGTGATGGGGGTGGGGGACGGGAGTGTCTCCAATTGTTGAACTGAAGTATCCCTGTTTGCCAGATTCCTAAACAGTCCAGTTCTTCGAGGAAAAGCAGAGTGGGCAGCTACGCGCTGTGTGTACCTCTCTCTGGACACTTCTTAGCGTCAGAGGTGGCCTTGGTTTATCGGAAAAGTCAAGTGCACAAACTTATCTTCTTCCTGAAGACTCAAGTGGATTCCTTTCCCAACCTATCTTCACAGTGACACAAACCAAAGCAAACCAAACCAAACCCCAAGTCTGGGGAGGATGCGGGGCTCAAGCCTGCTTCAGTGTCCTCGTCCTCACGGTCCCTTGGTTCCAGCCTCCCAAGGACTCTCTGGGTGGGCACTCTCTGTGGGTTTCAGCCATTTCCTTACAAAGGGCATCCAACCCCCTAGTGTAGAAAGGCCACTGGAGTTTTCTCTGACCACTTCTTCCTTCTGTCCTCAGAGAAGCCAGGGCCCAGCAGTGCTGCGGCAGCCTGCTCCTTGCCAGTCTTCACTATCACTCTCCTGCCCGATGCCTTGCTAAGTGAAGTGAAACCTGTCCCAGGTCTGGGCCTGCCATGGCTGTGAGCCTTGTGAGCTGGGAAGGTGCCCAGGGCTCAGTGGAAGCTGCTTCCATATGCTGTGTTGTCACAGCTCTGGGACTTGTGGTCCCTTTAGCACTCTCCTCAGAGCCCAGTGCAGACCCTCTCGCCTCTGCGCTGACACAGCACGTCACGGGGGCACACCTCGGCACCCCAAACCCACAGAACGGCTCTCCCTATTCCTCCCACTCCACTGCTACCCTAGCTCCTGCTCGGTTCCGTCACTGCTGAAACAAAGGCAGGGACTGAGAAGCCAGGCCTAGATGGGCAGGGGAGGGCACGGAGATGGCTGAGCAGGCAGGGCTTGCCGACGAGTGTATGTGGGCGTTAGACGTGGGACAGGGCTGCGGCTCAGACTCCAGCTGGCTGGATGGAACCAGTGCCTGGTAAATGGTCTGCAGTTTAGACAAAGAGGAAAGATGGTCTGCACTCAGTCCTGTCTCTTCCTAGCCGTGATTCTGGGAAGGGCACTCAACTTCTCTGAACCTCAGTTTCCTCATCTGTAAAATTAGGTTGGCAATAGATTTTGTAAAAATAGACTTTTGTCTGAGGTTTTGTAATAATTCCATTAGAAACTACCGGTGCAGGGGTGTGCATTTTGTACAGCGGTTAAGTTGCCATGTGGGACACCTGCAGCCCACGCTGGAGTGCCTGGTTCAAGTCCTGGGCACTACACATCCGATCCAGCTTCCTGCTAATCCTCCTTCTGAGGGCAGTAGTGAGGGTTCAAGTACTTGGGTCCCTGCACCCACATGGGAGACCTGGATGGAGCTCCGGCCTCCTAGTTTCAGTGTGGCCCAGACCTAGTTGTTGTGGGCATCTGGAGATCTCTGTGTGTGTGTGTGTCTCTCTCTCCCCCTCCCCACCTCTGTCTTTCAAATAAAATGAAAATAAAAAATTTTAAAATCCATACAGCAATTAAACAGAATACCTAGCCAAAGAGTTTATGCTCAGCAAATGACAGCTATTATTATTTTACAAATAGCTACAGGAGTATATAGAACACATCACTGTACATAGAAACACTCTCACACAGGGCCTATAATTATACTACAACAAGTAAGGTATAGGCAGCCTGAGACGGAACAAGCCAGCTTGTTTCTGAAAGTCAAACCATGAACATAAGAAGCTCAAGATTGCTGAAGATGGAATTTGCAGTCTTACCCTGAACGCTGACGCTATGCCAGTGGCTGGGTTTTCCGCAATGCACACTGAACCAAACCATCGCATCTCCTCCCTCCCGCTCCCAGTGCCCTCCTGACTTACTACAAGAGCTGACGGCATGGCCTGGAGGTCACGGGGAGGGAGTCAGCGCCGAGTGGCTCACACTTCCACTTCCACGGGAAGTGTAGGTCCAGGTTTGGCTGGTACCTTGGGGAGGGTCACTCCCATCTGCACAGTATTTTATTCTCTTAAACTCTCACAGTACACAGGAAAATCGTGATTATCTCTGCTATGGAGGAAAATGAAGTCAAGGGGGGGCCTGGTGATGTGTGCAGGTCACACAGGGAAACTACCGATCCAGCTGGAACCCAGACCTCTGGATTTCTAACCAGCGCTGCCTACTCTAAGTGTTCTGTAACCATGCAGCAGGCAGATTTATTTTTAAAAATCTGTATATTTTAAATGTTTCTCACTTGAAAGAAAACTCTTTGACTCCTTAGAAATGGCTTTATTTCAGGGCCAGTGCAGTGGTGTAGTGGGTAAAGCTACCACCTGCCATGCTGGCATCCCATATGGCTGCTGGTTCAAGTCCCGGCTTCTCTACTTCCAATCCAGCTCTCTGCGTATGGCCTGGGAAATCAGTGGAAGATAGGCCAAGTCCTTGGGCCCCTGCATCCATATGGGAGACCCAGAAGAAGTTCCAGGCTCCTGGTTTTGGATCGGCCCAGCTCTGGATGTTGCGGCCATTTTGGGGAGTGAACCAGCATATGGAAGACCTCTCTCTCTCTGCCTCTGCCTCTCAAATAAGTAAATAAATAAACCTAAAGGCTTTATTTCATTTTGTTAATTTTATAAGTACAGAATGTAATTATAGTTATGGAAAGGTAATCTTAAATTTGGTAAGTATTTATTATTACTTGGATTAATTTTAATGTCTCTAACATTTTAAAGTTTCTTTTGAAGGGATTTTTACATTGAAAACAGTATACATACCGTATTATTTTAGAAATATTTCCTTTCAGTGATTAGTAAATCATTTACTTCATTGCCCTTAAAGATACATTATTCATTATAAAATGCTTTAATGAATAAAATGATATGATACTTCATGTGATAGCTTAGGGTTCTATGGGGCTTCCTTATCAATTTTTTAAGATGGCACTTTTGCTTCTTTTTTCTTTTTTTAAGTAAAAATTTATTTATTTTTTTGAAGTCACAGAGAGAGGGAGAGAGAGAAAAAGACAGAGATCTTCCATCTGATCACCCCAGAAGGCTGCAATGGCCAGCACTGGGCCAGGCCCAAGCCAGGAGCTAGGAGCTTCTTTTGGGTCTCCAACATGGGTGCAGGGGCCCAAGCACTTGGGTCATCTTCTGTTGCTTTCCAAGGCCATTAACAGGGAGCTGGATTGGAAGTGGAGCAGCTGGGACTTGAACTGGTGCCCACATCGGGTGCTGTCGTCAGAGGCAGTGGCTTTCCCCACTAGGCCAGTGCCATCCCCCTGTTTCTTTTTTAAATATTAACTTATTTATTTGAAAGGGAGAGTGACAGAGAAAGAGAGGAAGAAAGAGACCTTCCATCCACTGGTTCACTCCCTAAATGGCTGCAACAGCCAGCCCTGGACAAGGCTGAAGCCAACAGCCTGGAACTCCCTCTGGGTCTCTCAGATGGCTGGCAGGGACTCAGTACCTGGACCACGTTCTGCTGTCTTCCTAGGTTTACTAGCAGGAAACCAGATTGGAAGCAGAGCATGTGGGACTCAAACTGGCATGCAGATTCGGGATGTGGGTGTTACACGCTGCAGCTTAATTTACTGTGCCACAATGCCAGCCTTGGCACTTTGCTTCTGTTTCATATACATTAACAACATAAGGCACTTCTCTGTGAAATACATGTATTGTTTTAATAAAGGCCTTTGTACAGGAGTGTACAGTGGATAATATGTTATTTATTAGCCAACGTGGCATTTTGAGCTCAGCAGGCAAGTCTGTTGATTTTAAAGCCTCATAGTTCAGCGAGTTGGTAACACCAAGTATTAGGATACCCAATACCAACTTTCCTAGGTAAAAGTAACATCCAAGAGCAAATATATTTATACCAGTAAGCTACCCCTTCATAATGTTCAACACTGTTTGTTAAATTTATAACTATACACACACATATTCCAATTCCCTCAGGGTAAATGACTTCATATCTCCTATCTCTTTATTTTACCCCTAAACAAATTGTAATAAAAACTTCTTTTCTAAAATACGAAATCTCCTACTGAAATAAATTTCACTTGTTAAGCGGGATTGATGTTCACTGCCAAAATGGATTTATAGGGACAATCAAACAGGAAGAGACAGTCCATCCTAGCCAAAGAAACAAAGACCTTCCATCCGTCCTACCCTTCGGATGTTTGCGCCTCATCACTTACCAGGTGGCAAAAATGCAAGACAGTTTCCAGCCATGGAGAGCTCATTGAGGCTGGGCAGCTGGCAGAGGTGGCGCGGCACATACCAGAGACGGTTGCGGTCCGCGGTGAGGTACTGCAGAGAAAGGCACAGGTGAAGCCTCTCGGGTAAAGTTAGCAAACGATTGGTAGAAATGTCTAGTGTCTGCAGCTCCTTCAGGTCGCCAACCTCTACAACCAAATCAAAAGTGAGATAAAGTGCATCCTGGTTAATATAAGTAAAGTAATTAAATGAACCAATACTGTAACAATCCAACCAAGTACAACCACTAGTTGCAACTCTCCCTGTAGACATGAATGCAGAGGTGCAGGATTTGGGGCCAGCAGGCAAGTAATCCTCCCTCGGCAGGTGTCTGTAAACGAGTCTGCCCATACTCTCTCTCTTTTTTTTTTTTTTTTTTTTGACAGGCAGAGTGGACAGTGAGAGAGACAGACAGAGAGAAAGGTCTTCCTCTTCCGCTGGTTCACCCCCCAATGGTCGCTAAGGCCAGCACACTGCGGCCGGCGCACTGCGCTGATCCAAAGCCAGGAGCCAGGTACTTTTCCTGGTCTCCCATGGGGTGCAGGGACCCAAGCACTTGGGCCATCCTCCACTGCCTTCCCGGGCCACACCAGAGAGCTGGACTGGAAGAGGGGCAACTGGGACAGAATCCAGTGCCCTGACCAGGACTAGAACCTGGGGTGCCGGCACCGCAGGCAGAGGATTAGCCTAATGAGCCATGGCCCTAGAACCTGCACTTTGTAAATGGAGAAAAATGCTGGCATGTGCAAGGGCAGTCATACAGTGGGGGCTGTGGGGCAGAATCGTTGCTAAGTGAGAACAGAACCATTACAGTCTCTCAAGGTGCCTGGTCTGATACTTGGTCACTTACCTTCCACATAAGCAGGTATCACAGCATCCAAGTAAAGGAAACCTGCTGCATCATCTAAGTAGATGACTTCTGGACTAGGAAGCAGGGGATCTTTTGGACATTTGTGCCATAGCAAAGATTATAATAATACAATGAAATTATTGTTAGTTCCTTTTAGATATTGTCCAATTATGTGGTTCCTTTTTTAAAAATTCAAAGTGTATGCATCCTGTGAAGATTTACTTTAATTACACCCTCATCATCGAGGTCTACAGTGTGATCTGTTACATGCTGAGTACAATTATGTCCTTGTAATTATCAAATCATTAAGTCTCAGGGCCTGCAGTCCCCACATCCCATATGGGTGCCGGTTCATGTCCCGGTTGCTATACTTCCAATCCAGCTCTCTGCTATGGCCTGGGAAAGCAGCGGAGGATGGCCCAAAGTCCTTGGGCCCCTGCACCCACGTAGGGGACCTGGAAGAAGCTCCAGTCTTCTGGCTTCAAATCAGCTCAGCTCTGGCTGTTGCGTCCATTTGGGGAGTGAATCAGAGGATGGAACACCTCTGTCTCTACTTCTGTCTGTAACTCTTGCAAATAAATAAAATAAATCTTTTAAAAAAAAGGAAATCATTAAGTCTTGAGTAAAGACTGGGAAGTTCTTTACTTAGTCCTTCTCAGAGAAAAATCCCCATATTAGGGGTAGGATGGCACCTTGCACATTCCAAGGCCCTAGAGCAGGCACTGAGCAGGATACACGCCTACTTCCACATCCTGGCCACACACGCTGCAGCTCGCCATGTTGCCATCCTTGTCCTCCCCTAGTTCTGACTCTGTTCCTGAGTGACTCACTAGGTTACGGTTTTCTATGTTCTACCACTAGACGGGAACCCTCGGGGCACATCCCAGGTGTTCTACTAGACGGGAACCCTCGGGGCACATCCCAGGTGTTCTACCACTAGACAGAAATCCTCGGGGCACATCCCAGGTGTTCTACCACTAGACAGAAATCCTCGGGGCACAGCCCAGGTGTTCTACTAGACAAGAACCCTCGGGGCACATCCCAGGTGTTCTGCCACTAGACGGTAACCCTCGGGGCACATCCCAGGTGTTCTACTAGACGAGAACCCTCGGGGCACATCCCAGGTGTTCTACTAGACAAGAACCCTCGGGGCACAGCCCAGGTGTTCTACTAGACGAGAACCCTCGGGGCACATCCCAGGTGTTTTACCACTAGACAGAAATCCTCGGGGCACATCCCAGGTGTTCTACTAGACAAGAACCCTCGGGGCACATCCCAGGTGTTCTGCCACTAGACGAGAACCCTCGGGGCACATCCCAGGTGTTCTGCCACTAGACGAGAACCCTCGGGGCACATCCCAGGTGTTCTGCCACTAGACGGGAACCCTCGGGGCACACCCCAGGTGTTCTGCCACTAGACGGGAACCCTCGGGGCACAGCCCAGGTGTTCTACTAGACGGGAACCCTTGGGGCACACCCCAGGTGTTCTGCCACTAGACGGGAACCCTCGGGGCACACCCCAGGTGTTCTACCACTCGACGGGAACCCTCGGGGCACATCCCAGGTGTTCTGCCACTAGACGGGAACCCTCGGGGCACACCCCAGGTGTTCTACCACTCGACGGGAACCCTCGGGGCACATCCCAGGTGTTCTGCCACTAGACGAGAACCCTTGGGGCACATCCCAGGTGTTCTACCACTAGACGAGAACCCTTGGGGCACATCCCAGGTGTTCTGCCACTAGACGGGAACCCGCAGGGCACACCCCATGTTTTTAGGACATGGATTCCAACCAGCGATGGCTTCTCTATTGGACGAAAACTCTTGTGCTCCCTTGGATGCCCAATTAAACAGATCAGCTTTCCTTACCACTACACATCAGGGGTCAGCAAATCAGCAAATGGGACACAGGCCAAATACAGCAGCTCACAGCCTCCCTATGAGCTCAAACTGGTTTTGACATTTTTACAGAGTGGGGAACAATAACTTCCAAAGAACATGTGACATAGACCATATATGGTCAGCAAAGCCTGAAGATACGTACTCTCTGGCCTTTAAAGAAAAAGTTTCTCAGTCTTTGCTATAGACTTACTCTTATAAATGTTCTTTATAATGTTTTTCTATATAAAAGTAATGGAAGTACAAAACAAATCAATTTCTAGCTATTTTCCTATACTGAAATCTGTTCTAAGTTCACATTTTGCTGTTCAATTCCCTAAATGTTGAAGAAAAAATACATTCAAAGGTGAGAAGGCAGGACCCAGGACACAGCCTGTGACTCTGATAGGGGTTGTGTTCTACTTTGATCTAACTGATGCACACAGAGTCAATCTCACTTAAGGCTCCACTTCTACAGTTTTCTGCCCACCTGAGCCTGCCTGGATGCCTACCCATGTTTTCACATAGAAAAATGCTTCTGATATGAGATGTCAGGGGATGAGGGGACTGGAGAAAGAATCAATATGCTTTAGAAGTAAATAAAAATAAGAAAAATACAATTTAAAAAAAAAACATTTTAATTTTATTTTTTTTAATGGGCAGAGTGGATAGTGAGAGAGAGAGACAGAGAGAAAGGTCTTCCCTTTCTATTGGTTCACCCCGCAATGGCCGCCACGGCTGGTGCGCTGTGGCCAGCGTGCAGTGCCAGTCCGAAGCCAGGAGCCAGGTGCTTCTCCTGGTCTCCCGTGTGAGTGCAGGGCCCAAGCACTTGGGCCATCCTCCACTGCCCTCCTGGGCCACAGCAGAGAGCTGGCCTGGAAGAGGGGCAACCAGGACAGAATCCAGCGACCCAACCAGGACTAGAACCCGGGGTGCCGGCGCCACAGGTGGAGGATTAGCCTAGTGAGCCGCGGCACTGGGCAAAATAAACTTTTTTAAAAAAAACCTAACTTTACAAAATGATTCTAGGAGTGAAGTGGGACAGAAGAGCCACCTCTCTCCCACACACCACGGGGCCGAGTGCCACAGAACAGGCAGGTCTCTTACAGTGCAGACAAGAGACCGTGCAATAGGAGCTCACACAAAGAAGAGGTGAGTGAGGGGCTAGGGGAGCTTTGACAAGTTTCCTGGAGATGGGAACCTGCAGAGGTCAAAAGGAAAATGGAGAGAGCATTCCCAGCAGGGCGCGAGGGCAGAGCGAAAGCATAAGCGTGAGGGACAAATAAGCAGCACGGGCTCTTGTGTCCAACAAGTGCCAAAAACTCCAACGAGAGAAGAACGGAGAACAAACAGAAAGCACAGGGCTTGGTAGACGTGCATGGTAATCAGGACCAGGGAGAGGGCTCGGGCTTGCTGTGGTGAGAACCAATTTCTCTTGAAAATTCTCAAAGGGTGAAAGGAATATTCTGGAAAGGTTAGACTGGTAAACAGCAAAAAAAAACAAAACAAAACAAAATTAAAAATCAGTGAAACAGAAAGACGTTTTAGGCTCAGAAAACAAGTAGGCATTTGATCAGAATAGAAAGAAAATGATAAAATTTGAAGGTCAATTCCAGATATTTTAAGAAAAGCATGGGGTAGGCTTGACTGGATATGGAAAATAATGAAATAGGGAAAAGAAAAAGATAGGGGTCAGCGCTGCGGCGTAGCAGGTAAAACCGCTACCTGCAGTGCCGATATCCCTTATGGGCGCTGGTTCAAGTCCCAGCTGCTCCACTTCCTATCCAGCTCTTTGCTATGGCCTGGGAAAGCAGTGGAAGATGGCCCTGCACCCGCACGGGAGACCTGGAAGAAGCTCCTGGCTCCTTGGCTTCAGATCCGCGCAGCGCCAGCTGTTGTGGCCAACTGGAGAGTGAATCAGCGGATGGAAGATCTTTCTCTTTCTGCCTCTCCTTCCTTCTCTGTGTAACTCTGACTTTCAGATAAATAAATAAATCTTAAAAAAAAAAGCAAAGATAATTTTAAGCTCTACCATACTATATGAATGGTGATTTCAATGTTAAAAACAGCTGTTTTTATAGAAGACATAAAACAAAATTTCATCAATACTTCAGAGTTGCATTATCTAGAAACCATTTGTTTACAGGTATTAGGAAAAAGACTATCAAAAATTAGCATGGGAGCTAGCAAAACAAATGATTATCATTATTTCAATAATAGTAATAATATGTACAAAAATGTATTCTGACATGGTTGCAAATGTCTCAGTGTTAAGTCAGCTTTGCCTTACTGTGTTGTGAAATATGCAAACATATGTGGCTGTGAATTTCAGTTTTTAAAATATTCATTAATTTAAAGATTTACTTTTTGCAGCTATGACAGATCAATATTTACACTTTGCTTTGGCGGATACGTACCATATTAGGTATTAAAATTCATAATACTTTTGACAAAGAAAGGAAAAACACAGACTGTAAGAGCCAAAAATCAAGGAAATGAGGCATGAGAAGGGAAAAGAGGGACTGATGTTTTTTATTTGCTATATTTAACGAGCAAAATAAAGTATTATACCTGAAACATGCAGGATTGTACAGAAAAAGAGAAAAAGCAACAAAAGGTCATTTTGCTGAACAGCTTGGTATAGAGGCCTTTTCATTTGTTTGAAAAAATTGAGCTGTTATTCCTATTAAAATGTGGAGCTGAATACTATACATAACACGGTTGGAAAATGGGTAACTTTGTTGTATTATGAAGTATTTGGAGAAGAAAGAAAGAAAATTAAATAGCTTCTCAGGTGGTCTAAGTAAACGTAACTTTCATGGTCATTTTACAACATGCTACAAATCTAGGACTACATATACATGTCATTTTAATAATCAATTAAAAATATATTTGCTGTGGCGTAGTAGGTTAACCCTCTGCCTGTGGTGCCAGCATCCCATATGGGCGCTGGTTCTAGCCCTGGCTGCCCCTCTTCCGATCCAGCTCTCTGCTATGGCCTGGGAAAGCAGTAGAAGATGGCCCAGTTGCCAGCACCGTGGCTCACTAGGCTAATCCTCTGCCTGTGGCGTCAGCACTCCGGGTTCTAGTCCTGGTCAGGGCGCTGGATTCTGTCCCAGTTGCTCCTCTTCCAGTCCAGCTCTCTGCTGTGGCTCAGGAAGGCAGCGGAGGATGGCCCAAGTGCTTGGGCTCTGTACCAGCATGGGAGACCATGAGGAAGCGCCTGGCTCCTGGCTTCGGATCAGCACAGTGTGCTGGCCGTCACAGACATTTGGGGAGTGAACCAACAGAAGGAAGACCTTTCTCTCTGTCTCTCTCACTGTCTAACTCTGCCTGTCAAAAATAAGAAAGATGGCCCAAGTCCTTGGGCCCCTGCACCCTTGTGGGAGACCTGGAAGAAGCTCCTGGTTCCTGGCTTCAGATTGGTGCAGCTCCTGCCATTGCAGCCATTTTGGGAGTGAACCATGGAAGGAAGACCTTTCTCTCTGTCTCTTCCTCTCACTGTCTGTAACTCTACCTCTCAAATAAATAAATAAAATCTTGTGGTATCCCATGTGGTTGCCAGTTCGAGTTCCGGGTGCTCCTCTTCTGATCCAGTTCCCTGCTGATGGCCTGGGAAGACAGTAGAAGATGGCACATGTGCTTGGGCCCCTGCACTCAAGTGGGAGACCTGGAAGAAGGTCCTGGCTCTTGGCTTAGGATCAGCCCAGTTTTGGCAATTATGGCCATTTGGGGAGTGAACCAATGGATGTAAGACCTCTCTGTCTCTCCCTCTCTCTCTAACTCTGCCTCTCAAATAAATTAATAAATCTTTTCAAAAAAAGATTCTAACTTAGAACTAACTTTATCTAAGATTTCTAACTCTAAAAACATGAGCTAAGCCTACAGTAGCAATATATCAGGCAGGAATAGAGAGACAGAGTTCAGAGTGGGTTCAAATTAAACACTGGAAAATTATCAGCCACACAAAAATCCAGCAAAGCTGGTCAGGTACAGAGGCTGAACTGAGGCCAGGACACTGATTTCTCTTGTATGACTCTGTTCTTCTTTCGTCCTAAACACCCAGGCTTCTTGGTTCTGCTTGAAGAACTGCATTTGACATTTCTTTTGGCAGAGGTACACTGGCAACAAGATCTCTCATCTCCCCTTGAGGTGGCAATGTCTTTACATCACTGTAATTCCTGAATTCTTTCCATTAGGTTCAGCATTCTGGGTTGACGATTTTCTTTCAATAATTTAAAGAGGCTGTTCTGTCATCTTCCAGCCCCCACAGACTGTGTTCTCCTAATGTGTTATTTTGCTTCAGGTGCTTTCAAAATCTTGTACCTCCACTTATTAGTAAACTGATTATGAAGTCTATGAAGTTTTGAGAATTGTATCCTACTTGCAGCATGCTGAGCTTTTTTTAATTTGTAGATTTATGTCTTTCACCATATTTTGGAAGTTTTGGCCTTATTCAAATCTAATCAGTCTCTACAAGTTGCTATATTCGAATAAATATAATAGATTGTGGTGGAATGAAAAGGCCATGCCAAGATGGCCACTGGCAACAGAGTCTGCCTGGCAACAGGCTGTGATTGGATGGCTTCAGAAACTGCCTGGCAACAGGGTGTGATTGGTCAGGGCATAGACCGCCCCTTGACCAGATTGGCTGCCTTGGCTATATAAGCAGCTGTAGCAACTGAAATAAATGAGTCTGCAGGCTGCTTGCCTCAGGCCTGCTTTCACCTGACTCCTGGGGTCTGTGTGGTGGCTCCACGCCTCTTGCCCCCACCATGCTCCTCCTCCCAGAAGAAATCAACCGCAACATCTGGCGCGCCAGCGTGACTGAGAGAGAGACAGCGTGTCGGACTCAGTGAGGTCCCCCTTGATTTCA